TTTTTTTTTTTTTTTTTTTTTTTTTTTTTTTTTTGATAATCCAAAATATTTTTTATATTTATTTTTCCTTTTGCTTTTCAGAAGATGATTTTGGTAAGCGAAGATCCCATGTGCAACACCGAATAGCACACAAAAGGTCAAAGATGCTGAAGCTTAAGGAGCACCAAAAAGCAAGAAGGACAAGATAAAACGGTGAATCAAAACCCCGAAGCAGGCGCTTGTACCATTTTCAATTATTATTTAACTAGCTGGCTAGCAATGCTGATACTTAGTATGTCACCTCCTGCATAAGGGACCACCCCTCCCCTTTCCCTAGCCCCAGTCTCATCTCTTATACCCCAAGGGCAAGGCAGCCAAGCCGAATACGGTGTATATCAACTTATAACATGCTGATGTAAGTAAAAAATCAGTATTGCAGGAAATATTGAAATTATTGTATGTTATTTATTTGAAGAGATTCTGCATAAAAGAGCGCAAATGTATTAGCTTATAAGGTATCATTCATGATTTATCCGTAATAAAATGAATGCTATTTCCGTCGGGTTTCACTTATAGTTATTTGTTGTCTCGTGCAGAAAACGTTCATCATCTGAATCAAAACTTTCAAATGCATTTTTTACCGACTGCAGTGGCGGATCCAGGACTTTAAGAGGGCGGGATTCATTTTTGCAAATCTCGGCACAACAATAACGTTCTCTTGCATCATAGTTAATACTTGCATCATCATTTTTCCCATGAGGCGCATCACTGGCCTAGGTGCGCTCCTGATAAGGATAACCTATCCACCAGTCCCATTTCATATTAAATCTCATGAGTTAGTACCATACTTTTATTTATTCATTTAAAAAAATATAAAAATTCCAAGGTACCAGCCGGTGGGGGGGGGGGGGGTTATTTGCACCCAACGAACCCCCCCTAAATCCCCCACAGGACTCATAACAAGGTAGTCAGCGTTTGACCACCATTTGGAGCAGACTAATTGAGAAAATAATTATTTGAGTAATTTAAGTTTAATTGCCCAATATTATTACAATAATATGATGAAATTGTGACGATATACCACACAAAAAAACAAAGGTTTACACTTAGGAGTGCTTGCATCAAAATCATCTAAGAACATTGAGAACAATTTTTATTCTGGTGATTATGGTACGATGACCTTAATTCGACTTGGTACAATGTTTTCCCATTACAGACCATGCGTCATTCTCCTGAGTATCATTTCTTTCTTTAACAGTAGCGCAGGAGAACACACGAGAATATGCTTACAAATCAAACAAAGAAGCTTATTCTCTAGGGTGAATAAGGTATATTTCCCGGCATGCATCTTAAAATGTAAAAGCCTTGCGTGACAATATCACGCAGGAAATGATTATTTAAAAGTCACGTGATCTAAATTCCAAGAAGCAGCGTGGCTTGGAGAACAAATAATCGCTGTCTAGTCTTACACGCCATGGATTCCTTCCTTGAAAACCTCAAAGAGAACGTACAGTGTTCCTTGTGTAATGATACACTTGCTGAACCTAAGATCTTGAAATGTTTCCACATATTTTGTAAGCCTTGTATCAAAAGGCACGCCGAGCTGATCGAGGATGTCGCCGTCTTCAAGTGTCCAAAATGTAAATCAGAAACTCCCTTACCACAAGAAAGCAGCTTGGATAGTCYAAAAACAAGTCCGCTACACTCAAGAATGTCTCAAATTCTGACTACTATTGAGAGCGAAAAGGTTTGTTCTGTTTCTGATAGTCATTCAGCAGCAGTGTGGTATTGTTTTGATTGTGATCAATCGATCTGTGAAGACTGCCGCAAAAGCCATTCTATGTTTACTAGACATCACAAACTCATTCGTGTTAGTGACATGAAGAACGAAGACCACGAATCTATGCTAAAGAAGGAGAATAACTGCACAACCCACTTAAATGAAATATTGGAGCTCTATTGCGAAGATTGTGATGATATCATCTGTTTGAGCTGCTGGAAGACACGTCATAATAATCACAAGATCATGCCATTAGACAAGCTCGTCTTACTGAAAAAGGCATTGTTATACAAGCATCTACAAGTGCTGGAACAGTTGAGATTCAATGACAAGGAAAGGCAGGGYCAAGAAGAGATTGCTAACAAAATAAGAGAGGATGGAGAAAGAGCTAAAAGTGAAGTAAAAGAAAGCATACAGAGAATATTTGAAAGTTTACGTCAAAGTGAGAGCGAAATTCTGAAACAAATCGATAGCAAGATGGACAGAGCGACCAAAAACTTGAATATAATCCATCATATTCCAACCGTCAAGGAATACATCAATAATATAATGGAAAGAGGATTGGCAAGTGAAATGATGAACATTCAAGAGACAGAATCCTATGAGGATTTTATTTTTAGTCCAATCCAAAAATGTTCAGGATTCGCCTTCGTTCCTAACCAAACCTTGCTGCAACAAGTGAATACAGGGCTGGGAGAAATACAATCTTACTCTAAAACAGACCATACGATGAGTACTATTGAAGTGATGTCTGATCCAGTGGCTTTCAAACAGGGAAACCTGATGTTGATAACTAAAACCTCTGCAGGAGAACTCAATCACGATCCAGGCGATGTTATTGATGTTAAAATCAGCCCTGAAGATAATGTGGATATAAGAGAAAACTATGTGAGAACTGATGGTAAACTAGAAGTGGAGTTCATACCTAAAGTAGTTGGTCAACTGACAGCAGAGGTTCAAGTGAATGGGAATCATGTATCTAACAGTCCACTAGTGATGAACGTAGAATCCCAAGAAATGGAAATAGTGAAAGAGTTTAAGATGAAAGGAAGAAAAGTAGAAACTTTGGATATGAATGGGATAGCAGTGAATGAAGGAAACAGTAGAGTTGCTGTTGCAGATGGGTATTCTCACTGTGTTCATGTGTTCAACACTGATGGAGACCTGTTACTGACTTATGGAGAGGGTCAGTTAAATAATCCTGAAGGATTAGCTTTTCAGAATGATACAGATCTAGTCATAGCGGACTGTGGTATGTATAGAATATGTATCACGAACACTGTGAAAGGAACGCAGATAAATATGTTTGGTGATAGTTATGGACAGGGCAATGGACAGTTAACTACACCACACGGAGTACACGTTGATGACGATGGGAACATCATTGTGTGTGATTTTGGTAATTATCGTGTTCAAGTCTTCACAAGAGACGGTGAATATCTATATCAGTTTGGCAGATCTCCCCAGTTGGGTCACTCACGACGAAGCCAGATTCATCCTGTCAGCGTAGTACAACATGGTGGACAGTTTTTCGTCAGTGATTCTGTTGAATGCGTTATTCATGTATACAAGAAGAAAGATGGTGTCTTGACTAGAATATCGACGATTGGCGAGAAAGGCAGTGCTGCTGGTCAGCTGAGTGAACCATGGGGCCTGGCTATTGATAATGACCATCATCTACTGGTCTGTGATCGTGGGAATAACCGCATCCAAAAGTTCACTCTGGATGGCCGTTTTGTTAAGAAAAGTGCCAACATACAGAAACCCTCTTATATGGCAGTTTTAAAAGATGGTCAGTTACTTGTAAGTACTTATTGTTCTGGTGTTTACTTCGTAAAATAATGCGAACTTGCACCTTTCCACAACGGCTATCCATCGAAACGAGCGACAGAATTTTATCCTTGAGTTCCCGAGGATGTCCATGAGTATATTGTTGTTTTTTAAAGGTTCTTAAGAGAGTCCTTGACATTTCAGGTCTAAACACGAACTCCAGATAATACATTTGCGCATGCGTGCATGTATTACGTTTTCGATAATTTTAGTAACACCAAGCATGCAAAGAAGACTTCAGATATCGTCAGAAGTACGGGGAAAAACTGTATATCATAGTTGTTAGTTGTGATATCGATTTAAATCGTATATCGTGCTCCCAAGATTTACAATCCATTTTTTTTTTCTTTTAGTATTTTTCAACCAATCAGAGCACGCAAAGCGAAGTGACTATATCATAATAGTATTGTATCTAAACAGACACATTTGCACATATAGTTTTGTGTTGCGCAGTATATATCAATAGTTTATAGAAAGGTTTTCGTATGACTGTGAAAAGCATTTGATTCAATGGAGAGTAAATTCTCGCGCAACATGATTGGTCTGGCGTATGTCTTGGCGAGTCACGACCGCGCTCCTGTCGCGAGCTTTTCACAGTCATACGAAAACTACTCCAGTGTTGATAATGAAACCCTATACAGAATTTTAAAAAATCGTATCTGGGGCAGGAATTTTGATATTAATTACGTTGATAATACAATAATTTTATTTAGTCAAGAAATTGGTCTATTGGAGCGTTAATACAAAATAAATTGTTTTAATTGCCAGGTAATCGGTTATTGAAGCGAATCTAGCCAATATTCCTTTTACCTTTGGACGTAATGTATTTTTTTWAAATTTGAGACCAGGTGTCACCTTCTTGGGAATAAGATTCTTTGAATAAGTTGTACCCATATTCATGTCTCTTCTCAGTCATGAACAATTGTTTAACAAAGAAATAATACTCTGACTAGGGAATTACACGTGGTTAGAAGTTAGAAAACATTACGTCCAAGGTTAAGAGGTCTATTTCTAGGCAGTCGTTAAGTATTCTAAATAAACTCCACAAATAATAATGAACTTTTGGGCTAGCTTTGTTTTAAACTTTACGCCTAAAGTAAGGGGATCTACATCTAGACCAACATGTTCAATTTAGGTTGTTTGTTGCCGAAGAGATGCTTCGCTTTTTTCGATATGGATCTTGCCAGGTGTCTATAGCACAGGTAGAACTGTAACAAAAGAGAGGGTAGCCTTCGCAGAATCCTTCACATTGATCATCACTTGAGCACCATTCTCCCAAAATATCACACTGGGCGTCACGCTTGATACGAACGTTTTGCTTCACATTCTGTAAAAAAAAATAGATAAAAATAAGACTTTTATGTTACTACTGCGAGCTTTCGGATTTCTTTTGTTTTTGTTTTCTTTTGTTTTCTTTTTTTTCTCTTTTTTTTTTTTTTTTTTTTTTTTTTTTTTTTTTTTTTTTGATTGGTGGGTTTTTAAGTGATAAAAGTCTTTGAATATCATCCGCTCCAAATGTCAAAATTCGGTATGAAAAAGAAGATCGTTGAACCGTACTTTGCTTATCCAATCAGAATGCGGTGACGGTAGTCGGGTACACGAACGTTTTGCAGAGGTAACTAGTGAAATTAATATTTGTCTATAAACCTAATCTCTGTTTTGCTCTTTCAAGTGCCATTCCCAAAATATCTTTATTATCTTGTTCTTAAGCTTAAGCTTTTCCGTCAAAACAAAAGACTAGTGCTCAAGCGAATGCTATGTGCTCTGAAATGGGAAAATTCGGGTTCATATAAGCTATTCATTTCATAATAGACTTTGTCATAATATCACTTCGCATGAACATCGCGTTGTCCATATTGAATTAATTATCTAACAGATAAATCAAAATTAATGACATCTTAAAATTTGCTTTCCCATGTGGGACTCACTTACTCAACTGCGCATGACCAAAAACAAATAATTAAACAATCAACTTGTTATTCCAATTATAACATAGCTTTTGAAAACTCCGTTTCTAATCAAATCCTTCATGACCTAAACTACAATATAACTGCTTTCCAACTGTGCGCGCGCGCTGAGTTTGAAGCGTCATTTTATGGTCCAAAAACTTTAAATATAGTTTAATGGTTTTGAAATGAATATCATTATTACCCAAAAAAACAAAGCACTAGCGCATTCAATAAATGCAAAACAAATTTATTTCTATGCAACTCAGCAATGTCTTAACTTTGGGAAACTTCTAGAACTACTTTATATATTATTTATCTAATCTGCATGACCAAAAAATAATTAAAGAATCTAAGTCATTCGATAACTTACACAGCATTTCCTCCTCACTGACAACGAAATTATTTTACTGTTGGATTGATTGAGAAAATAGTTTTTAGATATTGGTATATCTAAATTGGAAGCACATATTTGCATTAATTTCCTTTTAAATATAGTCGCAAGTTTTCAAAAGCGAATGGTTTTGAAGAAATATGGCTTTTGGCTGTCAAAACAGGAGAAAATATTTGGTTCGTGATTTGACATAAACTCTTGTGTCACCAAAAAAAATTTTTTTTTCATTTTTCTAAAAGATCTGGTATATTCTCTAGCCTAAYTGTGAGCTTGTAACACGTCTATGCTTATGTTTTCTGTAATTCTATCTGAATGTAAACCACTTACTTTGGGGATGAGGTGCCTTGCTGCAGCGAGTCCTACTGTAAGAAGAACAGCAATTATGACCAAACTTTTGCGGTTCATAACGTCAAATTTTGTCAGTCCAAACACTTAAAGCCTTAAATCTAAATAAGAAGAAATAAAAACATAACTTAATTAGCCGCTAAAATAATCTTGTCAATTGAAACTAAAGATTAATCGTAGGCTTGGGAAAGGTTACCTTTGCAACAGTGCGTCGTGTGATGTTATGATGAAAAGGTCCAAGTGCTGCCCCCTTTATTGGATGGCTTTCAGATAATTATAAGTGTAATGTAACGTGGGTGGTTAATTAGCTTGGCAAGTATTTTCAGATCTTTAGTCATTATAATTAATGAAATCAAAACCTCCAAGATCACTTTTTGTCGTAAATAAAAGCTGCATGGGAGAAAGCCAGTCAAGTGTTGCATATTAAAGATGATTGATAGCGTGAAGGCATTTAATTAGGATAACTGCTTTACCTGAGACAAACAAATTCCGTGATGTTAATTAATGCTTGCCTTGTTGGCAAGATTTGCAACGATAGGTAAGGTAGTTGGGGATATTTGTCTGTACTATAATTAATTCAGACTTGATACTCAAAGAATTTCAGTTAACAAGTTAATAAATCTGGTGTCATTATTCAAAGGACCATAACCTTGGAGCAGAGAAAASAATTGTGTACAAGAAAATCCTTGCCTTTGGCAAAATTTTAATAGATAAACCGGGAAATTAAATCTGTAATCAGTTTGATTTAGAGTCGAAGAAGTTCAGTTAACACGTTAATGAATCTGATGTCATCTTCAAAGAACCTTTAAGTTGAGCAGAGAATGAGGGAAAATGTGTGCCAAAATGACTCGTCTTTTTATCCAAATATATTTGTGTTTAAGAGTATTTTTATTCAATAAATACGTTTCTCTGTTTCTCCTCTRTTTTAGATTTTTTACAAAATGTTGTAGCACTTATAATTTATAAGCATAATCCAAGCAACGACATTCTGATGTAAACGCCTGATTGATGTGCTGCTGCATTTTGCAAACACATGTATTTGTAGAGTGCATGCACTAAAACCGTGAACATTAATAGTAAATAGTACTAATTAGTACTATTTCATACAGAATCCTTTGTTTTCTATTGTTTATTTATTACCATTTAGTACTAAAAGTTAGTATTTGTTTCACGGATTTAGTGTGAGCACTCTATATAATCAATGACAAAAACTAGAAATTGTTTTTTCTTGGTTAATCAGTATGTAATAAAACCTAGTCGACCTAAGAAATTAGAMCTAAATATTTAAACTATTGATTATTGTCATCAAATCTCCATTWAAAAAGTTGATCATTTTTTAATTGCTTCGTGGAGTATCGATGTCAAGATCTAGAACCTTGTCAAAACTGCATCAAAAAAACAAAAATAGACTGTTAGGATTGCTTGGGATGGAATTGCTTAAAGTTAACCTAACCCCCGATACAATACTTTCAGTAGAGTGCACGCACTAAACCCGTGAAACATATTTAGTACTAATTAGTAGTAATTCATACAGAATCCTTTGTTTCCTATTGTTTGAGTATCACTATTTAGTACTAAAAATTAGTATTTGTTTCACGGGTTTAGCGCGAGCACTCTATTGATTCTACGTAAAGTGAATAGTTGAATGCTGAAATATTTCTTCATTTGAACGTTGCGTCTTTGAGTTATGAAGGTTAATACTTCCAATATGTTACTGACTGTGACGTCACCACAGGCTTTTGATTGTATTTGTTTTAATTTTCAATACCAAACACTAGCCATTATGAGACATCTGATTTACAATAAACATTGTGGAAACCTYGAGTATAATAATGATTCTTTTTAAAAACTGTTTGTATGAACCAGTCAAAATTTGTATAATTCAYTAAGCCTGGGGTGACATCACAGTCAGTAACATATTGGAAGTATAAACCTTTATAACTTAAAGACGCAACATTCAAATGAAGAAATATTTCACCCTTCAATTATTTACTTTATGTAGAATCAATACTGAAAGTATTTTATCAGGGGTTAGAGCACTTTAAGTAGGAACACCATGATAGAAAAACATAATTGGATCGGAAAGAATATTTGCGCTTGACGAGAATCAAAGGTGCGTCCTACCRTGACACTAAAATGGCTTCCCGTGGTTAACGTACGTGTTTTAAAAAACATCTGGGGAACGTATGTGTAAAAACATATATTATAGAGTTATTTTGGAACAACAGCATGGTATCGTAGCCTTGCTTGTTCTGCATGTGCTTGTCCGACAAGTCCAATTGTATAGTATTTCCTTGAAAATATTTGTGTCCGTTAAACCCACAATGACCTGCTACCGCTACTGCTACTGCGAAATGTTTTATTATCTCACCTCCTCCTCAAACGCTTTTGGAAACCGCGTTATATTGAATGGTGGCTCAAGTCTTGTGAAAAATKATAGTGACAAAGCTGTCTAGAAGCCAAAACCAGGTCAAAGTAATATTCTTCTAATAAAGATTGGGCTAAGCATTGATCAAGGAGTCAATATTTCTTTTAGAGTATGAAAATATTAATTTTCGGTCATTTATTGTGTTTGCAATTGCCTTGGATTTCAACATGCTAAAGCTTACTGAAAAATAAACATCCAGGTCAAGATTTCTACTTTTTACTGTATGAAGTACCATTTTTCTATCTACCAAATTAAGATACAATGATTCCGAGATGAAATACCTTTCTCCATAAGTCAAGCACCCTACAGCGAAAATCCTTTGTTGAACGCCCGCTGTTTTACGCATTAGTTCAGATGGAGACGTTTAAAAACCTAATAATCTCGTTATACGGATGCATTAAGACCAACTTAAAACGTGTTGAAAAGCGTTGGTCTAAGTGCCCAGCAGTGAGGGTGATTGATCTTTCTATTGATGCACACCATCATGTCGGTTGGGGCCTTGCAAAGACCTAAAGTGATTTCGAATTACGGTATACTYGTTCTCACCCTGTGTTGATAAATTTCGTTATAACAACGCAAGGTCAATCTTTTTTCTGCGGAGGCACATTTTTTKTGTGCAGATGAGATGAATTGGAGAGGGGGTGCTGAGTAGATTTTCATCGTTTTCCTGTATTTTACTTTATCTTTTACAAACTTTCTCAATACACACAAATATTCTTTTGTTTTCCTACTACTTGGATTCTTTTGCAAGTCCTTTTCAGTAATGTAAAATACTTTTTCACTGGTCAACTCACGTTTGCCGTGAAATTAAGGCCCCGTCCAAACGTATCCGGAAATTTGTGTATCCGCAATTTTTTTTTTTTTTTTT